CTCCCTCTCATCACACTTCCCCCACACAGGAGTTTCTGGACAGAGGCAGATTGCCCCTCCCAGGCCCAAGTGGGAATTGTGGCCTCACTAATGAGGAAAAACTACCTTGAAGGCTATAAATAGTGTGAGTTTGTGCCAAGAATAAGTCCTGATGCTCTCCAGAGCTAGGGATGGGCACATGGATATATCCCTAAACACGTGCTCTGTAGCCAAGGGATGGAGGGTACATCCCATCCCCTCCTTCCTTCTTCCAGAACTTCTGGGTCCTCTCCCTTCTCCTTCCCCCAATACTCTTGGATTCCCTATCCCCCTTCTCCCAGCACTCCTAGATCCTCTCCCTTTCCCCTTTCTCCCAATACTCCTGGATCCCACCTCCACTTCAACCACCAGTCCTGATTCCCTTCCCTCCTTCTCACAGAACTCCTGGGTCCCTTCCTCCCCTTCTCCCAGCATTCCTGGGTCCTTTCCTCCCTTTTCCCAACACTCCTGGATCCCCTCCTCTCCTCTCCTCCCTTTTCCCAGCACTCCTGGATCCCCTCCTCTCCTTTCCCTCCCTTTTCCCAGCACTCCTGGATCCCCTCCTCTCCTTTCCCTCCCTTTTCCCAGCACTCCTGGATCCCCTCCTCTCCTTTCCCTCCCTTTTCCCAGCACTCCTGGATCCCCTCCTCTCCTTTCCCTCCCTTTTCCCAGCACTCCTGGATCCCCTCCTCTCCTTTCCCTCCCTTTTCCCAGCACTCCTGGATCCCCTCCTCTCCTTTCCCTCCCTTTTCCCAGCACTCCTGGATCCCCTCCTCTCCTTTCCCTCCCTTTTCCCAGCACTCCTGGATCCCCTCCTCTCCTTTCCCTCCCTTTTCCCAGCACTCCTGGATCCCCTCCTCTCCTTCTCTCCACCCACACCTTGAGCCCTTCCCAAACCACAGCCATCCCTCCCCAGCATTCCAAGGTTCTCTCTGTCCCCCTCAGACTCCTGGATCCCCCCTCAAATTCCTCTTCCCCACAGACTCCAAGGTCCTTTTCACACCTCATCCCTCCTCCCACAATGACTCCCCAGGTCCCCTCACAGCCTGTTCCTGCCCCAGCCCAGCCCCAAAGTCAGACATGACCCCCAGGATGCTCATATCCCCCCTCAAATCTGCTCCCCTCCAGGTCCCCTCACACCACCATCTCTCTCCAGGTCTCCTCACACTGCCCCCACCTCCATGTCCTCTCA